TAAAAAAAAAAAAAAAAAAGAATTATTTGCATGCCAAGCACTGAGCTAAGTGCTATGAAGATCCTGGCACTATCCCTATTTCCCGTAGGGGCAAATACAGGATGCAAAGATGAAAGGGCTGATAAAAGTTTCTCGCTCCCCTGGCCTAGAGAGGACTACTCAAGAACTTCTGGGGGCACCATCTGGGCACCTGTCCCTTCTAGCCTGGAAAGGCTCTGAGCCCTTGTCCCAGCCTCCCTAGGGATGTAACCCACTGAATACCACCCAGCCCACCCTGTCCTCCTCCCCAGGGCCCCGTACCCATGATTCCTGACAAGGCTGTAGCACACAGAGGCACTTCCAGATCCCAGCTAGGGCTGGTCACACACTTGTCCACATACAGCTGTGAGGGCTGATGGGAGTTGCCAACAACTGCAAATTTCAGGTGGAGCTCAGAGCCCAGGAAAATGGTGCTGGTGTTGGTGGGGTCTGGATACTCCAGCATAGCCTCATGCTGGGCTGGAATGAAAACCAGATAGGGAAGACAGGAGGCACAGAGACACACAGCAGGAGGGAAGCAGGTAAAAGGTGGAGTGAGGTGGCTCAGAGCCCAGTGCCCTCCACACCCTGCCACCAGGCCCTCCTGCCTTCCTACTCTCTGCAGGTGTCCTAGCCCAGAATTGGAGTCATAGGAGCCCCTGAGCCAGGGGGCCTCCCCCTTGAGATACTTTCTGTGCTCAGTCAATGTCTCCCAATTGTAGGAAGGGAAGAACCAGCCCAGAGTCTTATGATGAAGTGCAAATGTCCAACCCCAGCCAGAGTAACCAAAGAAGTGGGAGGTGATATGGGGGCTTCCAGACTGGCAGGGAAGTGTGAGGGGGACAATGTGAGTCTGGCGTGTGAGGAGGCTCAGAAAACAAACATTAAAGGCCCAAGACAGGTCCCCCAAGGCAGCCCAAGCAGAGGAAAAGAGAGAAAGGGCCCGAGAATCCAGGAATTCTAAATTTAGACTCCTAGGCAAGCATGCCCAGGCTGGCTCCCAGCTCACACTGAGGGGAAGTCCATGGGGTTTGTACCTCGTGCCCACTCACTAGAGGGACACCCTCATCCGGCCTATCCTTCCTCTTCTTGCAGACCTCCAGGTTTCAGCACCCTGGACAGGTAAGGGGACCTCGGCCGTGCTCATCCCTTGGCCATGCAGTTGACTTGATGGTGGAAGAGAGACCCCTCTGATCTTCCAGGTGGGGGTGCATAGAGCAGGTCACAAAGAACTCCACCATCTTTCCTGAGATCTGCAGGGACACCAGCTTCTCATGATGGGGGAAGAAGCCAGGAGAGATGCATCCTTCGCTTGACCCCCATCTCACTGTGTGGCCTCAAAGTCACTTGCCCTCTCTGGGCCTCAGTTCTAGGCCCCTTCCTTGCCTAGACACCTATTCTATTCTGCTTTGGAGAATGTGGTACTAAGTTGCATCAGGTGGTTGACAGCAGGGCTGTCCTGTGAATCTGTTTCTTCATCCAGAAAATGGGAATGAAGCTTCACCTCCACATGAGAGTGCAAGAATTAAATACAAGTATAAGCTGCGTAAAGTGTAACATGCAAATGATAAATGACAAGTCTGCATCATACCCTGGGCAACCAAATTCCACAGCAATTCAGGCCTCTGCAGATTTTTTTTTTTTTTTTTTGCGCAGTTTTTGGCTGGGGCTGGGTTTGAACCGGCATAGGGGACTGGCGCCCTACTCCTTTGAGCCACAGGCGCCACCCACCTCTGCAGATTTTAGAGAAAGATACTGAGGCTCAGAGAGGCTGTGACTTGCCCAAGGTCATACAAGGCATTATGATCTGATGCTAGCCCTCTCCAGACCAGACACCCAACGCTGTCCCACACACACCATCTGCCAGGTACCCCTGGGCTCTTCGCAGTCTTGTCCTCCTGAGCCTCAACTTCCCTCTCACCACCTGGGCAAAGTCCCAAGCGTTGAATAGGGCAGCGAATACTACGTAACCATGTGTGACCAGGGAGGAGGGCAGGTGCCAAGACGCAAGTGGCGGGTGTCCAGCTGGGGATCCTTCCTCACAGTCACAAGGACATCTGTCTGATTACATTCCTGAAGGAGGCTGTCCCC